TTCTGCAAGAGCAGCACGTGCTCTTCAGCCACCTCTTCAGCTCCTTAGCCTCAATTTTGAATGGTAATTCCGTTTTATTTGACAATATGACTGATCTGTAACATAACAAAGGAGTGACAGACCCATTTCTCCGCTGTGTGCAAGGCTGCCACGGTCCCTGAATGCTCCTTGCTTTCCGATGACGTTCTGGCATTCCCACACCTACTCACACTTCCCGGCCCTCCCCGAGCCCACCTCCATCCCTGCACATGAAGAGAAGCCTTGGGTTCTCTTAGTTATCCCTACACTCTGCTACCTGGGGTGTGATTCAGCCCAAATGTCGAATCTCCTTTGTATGTTCTGTTCATACGTTATGAGTTCATATCTTGAGTGCGAAGGCATAAAGGTCCATGCTGACTATAAATATATTACAACTATAAAGACACAAACACACACTAAATAAAAAGAAATATAAAACATGCACCGATCAGCGCTGAAGGGTCTAACACATGGGCCTCTCCTTCGCTGTGGTCTGTCCGTGTGTAAGACACACCCGGTCCTACCTTCTGGTTCAGTGCCCTGTTGATCAGAGGGTTTCTGCGGTAAAGGATTCTCTGTGGGATTAACTCATGTCCCCTGCAGCTCTGCCACTGTGTCTCAGATACAGAAGCAGGTAAGTAGGTCAGCTTTGCCAAACCTATTGTGTAGCATTTTCTCTCTGACATTCTCACGTGGCCCAGAGACAGCTGTCTGCATGGCAGCGTCCCTAACCTCTTCACTGCAGTTGCCACGGAGCCAGGACTCGGCTGTCCACCAAACCGGCTCCATCCACACAGCCACGCCTTTGTTAAACTCAGCTTGTCATGGATTTACAGAAAGCCACTTAGAAATTTTAGCTGAGGTCTTAATTTCAAACAGTTCCTTAGTTGAAATCTTAAAAAACAAAAACAAAAACAAAAACCCACCTTTTTATTGGTTCTTTGTGAGCTTCACATCATGCACCCCACTCCCATTCATCTCCCCACCCCCTCATATCTGCTCTCCATCTTTGCAACCAGAAGAAAACGCACACACACACACACACACACACACACACACACACACACACACACACTACTGCCCCTCCCACAGAGTGGTAATAGACCTTTCCTGAGTGAGTTTATGAAGAACTAGAGATCCTCAGACACACGCCTGCTTATAAGCAGTGCCCTGAGATTAACTGTACCAGGTCAGAACTGAATGGCCTGCACATTGTTTTGGACACAGACTTATTATAATAAGTAAGATTAACACAATAATATAAAAACATTAAAACAACACAAACATAGTGCAGTACCCACAAATCAAAGCAACCAGATCAAGTCTCCAACGTTTCTCACACTCCCCAGTTCAGGCTGCTCTAGACTCAGAGGTCTGCCTCAGTAGCCCAGATAAAGTTATCACCCCAGAGCCTGGGACAGAAGGTGGCAGAGTCCTCATTGTTGGAGGCTGGTCTGATGCATGTTACTGGCCCTCAAGATCTGGTTATACCGATCCTTGTTTTGTAAACCTGCCTAAGACATTCCTGATTGGTTGAGTAAATGGCCTATACCCGGGCAGGGTAGAATGGGGTAGGCGTGGCTAAGATTTTGGGGGGTTGTTTGAGGACAGGAAAATAGATGGACGTGAAAACAGAAGGAAGGAGGACGCCACAATGGGTTAGTGTGGAGAAGAAACCATGTGGGAAAAAAAAGGCCCAGATGATGCAAGCACTATGGGATGAGGTATGGAAGGTAGACCAGATGAGGATTAAGGCGGAAGGCACTGGACGGGGGCTGGGAGATGGATGGTGAGGTTATTGAGACAGTGTAAGTGAAATATCTGCCCAGCCAAAGGTGAATAAGGCAATTATAAATCTAACAGGTGCCTGTGTCTATTCGTGATAGTGGGTTAGATAATACTGTCATGATAATCTTAGGGCTAATAATAAACATTATATAGCCCAACACTTTTTTTTTTTTTTTTTTTTTTTTTTTTTTTTTTTTTTTTTTTTTTTTAGCAACAATACCTCATTGTGCTTCCAGTCAAACTTCTACCTCCTTATTGGACTAAAGAGCTAAAGAGCCTTTCTTCTCCTCAGAGTTCTAAAATTCATTTATTTAAAAACAACATTAAAAAAAATCCCCTTGGAGATGCCCATAAATGCAGATTTTTAATCCTAGCAATGTGTATTGTTATGACATTTCCAAGAAAAAGAAAATGTCTTTAATAAATCCTTTTGTCAATTTATTTATTGTTTCAGACAGGATCTCATGGTATAGTCCTGGCTGTCCTAGAACTCACTATGCAGAGCAGACTGGTCTTGAACTCCCGGATCCTGGGCTTCCCAATTGTGGAGATTAATGGCATATATGCCCAGCTCTCTGTCTTGTGGCAGGACATACGTAAGGTTTACCCCAGTGACACTTCGTACCTTCACCAGTAAAACTATCACCAGAACATTCATCCCCAAAGTCCTTTCTCACCGAGCAGCCTGCTCCTCGCAGGCTCTGGTGATCACAGATCTGCTTTCTGATGCTTCTGTCTCTCTCGGTACTTTAGCCCATGCACAGCCTCTTTTGCCTGGTAGCTCACTCAGCACACGGCATCGGGGTCATCTGAGTTGTGGGGCTCCTCAGCACCCCGCTTCCGCCCGGCTGAATGCATTCCATTGTAGGTGCAGTGTTCATCCCTCACCACCCGGCCTGCACCTGGGCCATTTCCCCTCTCGGTTGTTATGCTTACTGCTGCTGCGACTATTTCTGTATGAGAGCTTCTGTCCGAACAGGTTCCCAGTTTTTGGTATACAGTCGGGAGCGGGATTGCTGGGCCGTAGAGCAAGTAACGCAGCAAGCTGTGTCTGCAGCCGCAGCGTTTTACATCCTCGCAGGAACAGCCCCGCTTCTCCATGTCCTCTTCAGTGTTTTTTCTGTTTTCACATCAGCCGTTCTGGTGAGTGTGAAGCTGTGCCTCACTGCCCTGCTGATGCAGAATAACCCGTGCTGGTAAGCATCTTTTCATGAGCTTGTCATTTGTATTGCCTCACTGGCAAGGTCTGCTTAAGTACCTTGCATATTTCTAATTGCATTGTCTTTCTGGTATTGAATGTCCAAATTTCATATCCTGAAATTCTGCCCTTACCAGATATAGAATTTGTAGCTATTTTCTCCCATTTTGACTTTTTTTTTTTTTTTCACTTTGTGTAATTCTGAGCATGTCTGAGTCGGGCATCGGGTGTTTTCCTCTCTGCCCTATTGCCTTGGGATGGGGTCTCCCACGACTGGAAGCTTACTTTGTGCTGGGCTGGTGGGTTGGAGGACTCTGGGCTCTGCCTGTATATGTTCCCTTGTGCTGGCACAACTTATGTAAACATGGTCCTTAAGCACACACAGCAAGCAGTCTTAGCTCACAATGATGCACTGAGCCACACCTCAAGTCCCTTTTCTTTTCCTTTCCTTTCCCTTCCTTCTTGCCCCCCTTCTCCCCCTGTCTTTCTTTCCTTCCTTAAGACAGGACAGGGTCTCCCTGTGTAGACTAGGCTGGCCTCAAACTTGGAGATCCACCTGTGTCTGTGTTGGATTTAAAGGTACGCCACCACACCGGGCCTACCTTCACGTTCTTGATAGGCCAAGAGGTTTGATGTCCAGTCTATTTTTATTGCTTGTGGCCACAGTGTTAAATCCAGGAAACCACACCCGAGTCCAAGGTCTCCAAGGGTGTATCTGTTTTCCTCTCAGTATTCTGGTTTCAATTCTTGAATTTAGATTTTTGACCTGCTTTGTATTAAGTTTGCACACAATGTGACGAGCCAAACTCTATTCTTTTCTATGTGGATATTTTTCCTAAATGGTTTGACATCATTGCTGGGAACCAGCGAGTCTAGTACACTTTCAAAAGTTACTTCTGGACTTTCTATTCCATGCTATTGGTGCACGTGCACTTATACCACACTGTTTTGATTAACATAACCTTGCAAAAAAAAAGAAAAAAAAAAGAAAATCTGAGTCCTCTCTCAAGTCCCCAATACTAAAGATGCTTGTTTTATTGGTCATTTTGGGTCTCTTACAATTCCATATGCACTTTAGTATTGACTTTCTCAGTCTAGCAAAATTGTCTGGGGTCTTGGTAGGGGTGTGGGGTTGCTGTCATCTTAACACTTGTTTTCCAAGCTGTGAACACACGACGCCTTTGGCATCTTTACATCTTCTCTATTTCGGTAATGGACTTATCATGTACATCTCCTGCCTCCTTGGTAAGTGTGTTCTTCATTCCCCCATGTTAGAAATGGCACTGCTCCTTTAATGTTATCCCACTTGTCCTCGTTAGTGTATAGGAACATAACTATGAGATCCTGCACAGCAACATTACTGAAATTTTAAATTAGCTAGTTTGTTTGTGTGTGGATTCTTTAGACATTTTAAAACATAGGATTATATTATCTGAACATGGTTTTACTTCCCTGTTTTTAATCTGAATTCCATATTTCTTTCTTTTTTTCTAATTTCTCTGAACTCTAGTTCAGTGTTGAAAAGCACCAGCAAAGAGGCTAATTTTGTTTGTTTGTTTTTTGAGACAGGGTTTCTCTGTGTAGTCTTGGTTGTCCTGGACTTGATTTGTAGACCAGGCTGGCCTGGAACTCACAGAGACCCACCTGCCTCTGCCTCTGCCACTACACCTGGCTAAGGCAGTTTTTAAAATTTGTGTGTAACTAGGAATTTGTTCAGCTTATCTACATTATATAATTTGTTGGAATTAATGCTTATTTTTAATACATTTGTTTACAATTTACTCAAGTAATGCAATTTAATATTTAATATGTTTTCTAAAGCAAGTGTAAATATAATTCTATGAGTGATTTAAACAAAGTTTTCTTTAAATATTAAGGAACTAGCTGTCATGGAGGTGCATGCCTTTGAGAAACCCTATCTCAAAACAACAACAAAAAAGCAACTAAAATAAAGGGTACCCTAATTTTAAATAAGAATATATTAATCACAGCATTGTACTTTAAAAGATGAGACTTTAGTTTTATATCCATTTTATATTAAGATAATGACTTCTCCTTTAAAGAGAATTTCATACAATATTGCTGCCCAGGGCATGTTATAGGCAATAAACAATTCACAGAGACTATTAACATTCACGTATGTAATTAGAGTTTACAAATGTACAAAACTTTGAGTAACAAACACTTTAAACCTAGTTTTCAAACACTTGGTTAACACGACCCCCCTCCCACACCACCTTTTGATTACAATGAGTTCCTAACTGTGTCAAAATGTTAGGAGCAAGGCAGCAGACAGAAGGTTGGAACAGCCAAAACGACTGTGTCAGTATCAAAAAGATAAAATCAAATGACCTTTTGTAATATAAAAGAAAATAAATCTACATAATTGCATACTGGTTGGGTGGAAGAACATCCTAGAGGATAGAGTACTTACTTTCTACATAAACTTGCATATCTTAATGTAACGCTCCTGCTTTCACTTCTGAGATCCCATCACAGTTCTTGGGGGCTCTCTATGGAATGGCTATTTAAGTAGGACCCAGAGGTCCTATCAAGTATTTATTTGGTCAGTCATTTTTTTAATGCCTTACGTGTTTTTCTTTATTCTTGGGTTAAACCAATTTTAGTACTAAAATTCATAACTAGAGCATATGTAATATCATTGTACCTGGAAAAAAAAACCCTAGAGGGTGAAGTCTTTAGTATGTCATTAAAACAGTGGTTCGATTAAAGGACAAAAGTATGGAAACTCATTTATGACAAACTTACAAAATAACATTTTAAAAGTTTGTATTCTTGAACTGTAATAACTCTAGACAATGTGAGTAGAAGGTGCCTGACTAAAAATAGGCGCATTCCCCAGTTAGTGCTGGATTGTTCTGGGGCAGTGCACTTGGATTCATATTGTACATCAAGAACGTATGTTCCCAGTCCACTGGCTGTAGCTTTAACTTACTAAGAAATGAAGTGTCTCATGCTGTTATATTCATTCCTTCCCCCATTGTTTCAACATCTTCACTTTGAAATGAGGCATTTTGTGCCTAGGAGTGTGGTACTGCGTGCTCACTAAAAATTAACCCACAGGTAGGACTGTCCTTATTCCATAGAGGGAGAGGGCATCTTCATTTAGAGAACAAACTATGATATCATATCTTCACAGTCACGACACAGGCGCCAGCTCTTCCTAGGCACAGTGGAGCAACCTGAAAGGGACAAGAGGTACAGGTTGGGTGTGGAGGAAGATGGGTCACCTAAGTGTGCTGTGACAGGTTTGTGACATGACAACCAGATAAACAGTACAGCTTAGAGAATTGTATTTAATACACAATGCAACTATTTCCTGCTTTGGAACATTGCTGGCAGTGAGGTGGACAGTGGCTTTAAACTTAGCAATCTATTTCAGCCTTCTATAAGTGTCTTTTACCCATTTGTTAACACAGTATAATGTTATTGTAAAAGCAGTTATTTATCAGCTCATATTTTTAGGTGCTTAAAACAGCAGCGATAGTAGTGGCATCTACACAAGATGGCTGTGTGTCTATATATTACTGATTTATAGCAAAGAAAACCTAGGTTCATTCCTGTTTATGATTAAATCTGTTTCTCATGGATTGGCCCATGCGACACCTGTAACCTTAACTACAAATGATCTCTATTGCCTGTAAACAGAAATGACAGTTGCCTTTGTTTCAGGAGGTTGTTATGACCACCTTGCAAAAATGTCTTCGTTTCAAGAGGTTGTTGTGACCAACTTGTTATGCTTATGTTCTGCTTCTGTAACCCCACATATTTGCTTGCCAATTCCATTCCCCTACTGCTAAACCTTTATCTTCCCTATGTCCAATGCTCATCTCCTGAATCCTGCATTAGGGAGACACAGCCCATATACAAGAATAAAAAAGCTTGCTTTAATTAATTTGGCCATGACTTGGGTCTTTCTCCTCGAATCTGTGGGATTAACTCTTACCTCTTCCACCTTCCACTGTGTCATTTCATTTACTGAAGAAATAAGATTGAAGTCACATAGTTGAAATCCTTTCCTTTTATGCCTTTTTTTAAAAGAAGCTCCCTTTTTAATCCTCTACTGTCATCCTTTCCCCAAGCTGCTTTGCAGTTAAATCTTCATGGTTAATTTTACTGAATTTTAGAGTCAAGTAGAAAACACCCCTGAATGTGTCTGTGAGGGCTTTTCAGAGACTTCACCCCCCACCTGTGAAAGTGTGTGGGCTCATTCCTTAGCTTTAGGTCCTGGACTGAATTAAAAGAGAGAAAGGCTGGGGGCACTGTGCTGTTTTGAATAAGAATGGTCTCCATAGGCTTTATATTTTCATGCTTGGTCCCCAGTTAAAGAACTGTTTGGAAGGATTAGGAGGTGTGGCCTTGGTGGAGGTTTCAAAAGCCTCCACCAGGCCCAGTCTGTCTCTGTCTCTGCTGCCTATGGATCAGGATGTAAAGCTCTTAGCTCCAGGGCCATGCTCCTCACCATGATGATAATGGATTGACATTCTGAAACTGGAAGCAAGCCCCCGATTAAATGCTTTCTTTTATAAGTATTGGCTGGTCATGGCATTTTTTCACAGCAATAGAACACTAAGACATTCATAGCATCAATATTTACTGCTCTATACTTCCTACCACAGATACAACGTGACCAGCTGTATAACCTTTCTGCCACCATGCTTTTCCCAGAAAGAGATGTGGTTAGCTAGGAGTCTTTTGCTAATAAGCTTGCCACATTGACTTTCTTACTTGTTAATGTAATTTAGGTTTGTCATGGTTATTAGATTACAGCCAGAAATTTAATATGCTGCCCAAATATTGAGTATGTAAAAATTATTACTTGTGTATGGGTAAACTGTTCAAATATTTCTGACTACTATCCTTGCTTATTTTCTACAATATCCTCTACCCTTTGGTACAGCTCTCCTCTGGACCTGTCAGCTCTACCACTGCTAGAACGTTTTATCAAATAGTGGTTAATGATTTATCTGAATATTAATTTATACTTCAAAGGAATTTGAGTTTTGTTATAAAATACGACACTGCATCTTGTCTTTTTCACATTTAGTCAAGAGGCAACTTTATCGCATTAAAACAGACTAACTTATTTTTATTTTATTATGCATATGAATGTTTGCTATATGTATGAGATATATATATATATCATGAGTGTACAGTGCCCATAGAATCCAAAAGAGGGTACAGATGCCCTGGAACTGGAGTTGGAGGGTGCTGTGAGCCTCCATTCAAGTGCTGAGAACCAACCTTGGGTCCTCTGCAAGAGAGCAAGTGCCCTTAACACCTGACGCATCTCTCAGGCTGTATTTGTGTGACACATGTCAACGTTGAGCACAGTAGGAGAGAGGTGAGATAGTGAAGGTGACGTGGCGTACCTGGGTCCACTCGTTTGTCTGGGGGTCATAAGCCTCCACTATGTTCAGGTAGGTCTGTCCATCATAACCTCCAACAGCATACAGCTTGTCGCCAAGCAAGCAAACGCCCACTGCATCCCTGCTAATGCTCATGGAGGCCACTGCCGTCCACATGTCTGTTTTGGGATCATATCTGAAAGAAAATTGCACCACTGGAGCTGACATTGCTCTTGAAATATTTTGTGTGCAAACATCTGTCCTCCAAGTCTAGTTTCTGTCTTATCTGTGATGTAAGTATGTTGAATGCATTTTAGAGAGAAAGATCAGTATTTTCCTAACAGACATGTAGCTTACACTGTGACGGATTCAACTAGTAGATACAGCACACTTAGCAACTCAACGTGAATACAAAGTAAAACTGCTTCAAGGCTTCGGTGTCACCATTGAAAACGTGGGCAAAGCAATATACTAAAACTGTGTAGAGGACTTAAATTCTCAATAGTGGTAGTGTCCATTTTTGTTGTGCTGTTGTTTTCTTGCTCTTTTTAAATTAGAACTGCTAATGGTGTCATTTAAAGTGTAGATAGTTCATGCTAACATGCCATATTGCCTCTGATGTTTCTTACACCAACACTTGTCTTTTCCTTGGAGTAGTTAATCACACTAAAGACCCTGGATCTCCTTCCTGGGTCATAACATGAGCAGAACACCCCTCCCACTACAGATGAGATGCAGCTGTAACTTAACTGCCTTTTGCAACACCGCCAGATCTGCTTGTTGTCCGAGACTGTTGAGTGTCACCAGCCTGGATTTTAGGTCACCACCCTTCTCGCCATTTCCAGTTCACTAAGTAAATCACTCTAACCTTAAAACACCGGCTCCAGTCTCCCTTTCTGGTGCTCACTGATTACATATTCCTCTAAGAGCTGAACTCTGTCCTAAGGCCCTGCACTCTATGTGACTGCTCCCCCTTCTCTGTCTCCTCTTTTTTTTCAAGATTTATTTATTATTTACTCAGTGTTCTGCCTACATGTGAGCCTCAGGACAGCAGAGGGCACCAGATCTCACTACAGATGGTTGTGAGCATCTCACATGGAACTCAGGACCTTTGGAAGAGCAGACGGTGCTCTTAACCGCTGAGCTATCTCACCAGCCCCCACTGTCTCCTCTTTTGGCACGCTCCCTATCACTCTTGGCTCTCCAGCCACACAGTTTTCCTTTATTTCCTATGTGAACCATATTCTTTTTTATTTTGGAGTGTTCACACATGATGCTAGTGTTTCTTCCCCTAAAATGCATTCAATTCTCTCTTGTTCTTAAACTAAATAAAAAAAAAATTACATGAAGACTCAACCTGCCACCCAAATCTTCAGTGCTACTAGATTCTCTGCCATGCCTAAAAGCTGAGTTTCTTATAACCAGTATGAATGACTTGGTTAAACCTTTAAGACTCGTAAGAGCTTTTCATTTTTCTTTTCTCTCTCTCTCTCTTTTTTTTTGAGACAGTTTCTCTGTTTAGCTTCAGCTGACCTGGACTTGCTTTGTAGACCAGGCTGGCCTTGAACTCACAGAGATCCACTTGCCTCTGCCTCCCTGAGCGCTGGGATTATACGTTGTACCACTGTGCCCGGCAGCTTTTCATTCTTTATCATTTCCTATTATTTCATTGTAAATCAAAACGGGCCAGATATGTCCCTATTCTTTACACTTCTTACATTGTTTCCCCACCCCTAATTCATTCTTTCTTAAATTCATCAAGTTCCCATACTTTTCTGATGAGGTACAGAGTCCAATAGAAAACAGCTAAACGATAAATGCTTGTCTCAATGGATGCATTATGTGCTCAATCCCAAGGTAAGCTACAAGGAGACTGGAATCCAAGTAGGCAGTTGGGAGACAGGTGGAGAGATAGCCAGAGAGGACAACCAGTGTTCACAGAACTGTAGAGGCCATGCTGCGCATGACGGCCTCACTATAGACTCATGACTCTGTCTGGAAGTGTGCCAAACTATGTTTTTTTTTTTTTGTTTGTTTGTTCTTAGTTTTCCTTTGCAGGAAATTACCTCTCCACACAGTCTGAAAGTCTGGGAGTCAAGTTGGATGTGGGAGCATCGTGTCCTCCAATGGCATACAGCAGTCCATTCCAGGTGGTTACTCCAACACGGCCTCTCCTTTTGGACATCTGGGCACACAGTGTCCATTTATTGGTGTGAGGATCAAAGCACTCTACTGACTTGAGACAAGAGCTCCCATCACGGCCACCAACTGCATAAAGTCTGCAGAGAAGAACAAGTGAAGTGACAGCGTTGACTTTAAGGTGTCACTGTTGACGCCATGCTGAGGGTATTAAGAAAGAAGATATGATAGCAGGTAAATGAAAGCCATGATATCCATCTAAAAATGATTTCCACTTCTTTGCCCATTAGGTTCTTACGACACTAACACAAAGGACTTAACAATTGTGGCCTGAGGAAATAAGAGCTTAGGCATAAATAGAAAAAATATTTATTAATATTTTCTGTTTATTTATTTATTTAGCCAGGGTCTCATTATGTAGCCTTGGCTGCTCTAGAACCCATTATATAGACCAGGCTTGCTTCAAACTCAAATTTCTGCCTCTGCTTCCTGAGTGCTAGATTAAGGATGTGTAGCCACTCCACCCATCACCTAGCTTTTCTTATATCACAATTCTAGAGGTGCCTTGCTGGTGCTGATTTTTACCCCCCTCCTCTCTCTTTTCGTAAGTGAAAACATGAAAGCAATGAAACAGAGAAATTAATTAAAAACCATCAAGGGATTTATTTTATGGTTGAAGAAAGGGTTAAAAGGTTTGTATTTAGTCCTCAAACAATTGAGAACTGTGAGTGAAGACCCTGTTAAATGTTTTTTTTTTTTTTTTACAGTAGACAAAGGCCTTTTCTTAAATCCACTCTGGGGTTACCAGTCTACCACAATAAGAAAGAAGAGACACAAAAGTAAAGACAATGCAGGGAAAATGATGGAGATCACAAGATTTGAAGTTTTAAATTCATGCATCAAAATTTTTCACATGTGCATATACACATCTTTGTGCGTGGGCTCATGCAGGTTTACGGGTGCACATATGTGTGCCCGTGGAGCCTGAGGCTGACGCCAGGTACCACCTCTCCACGGCTCCTCTGCCTCATCCTCCCAGGCAGGTCTCTCAGTCAGCCCAGACCTCCCGGATATGGCTAGCCTGTGCAGCTGTTCTGGTGATGCCTGCCTCTGCCTTTCCAGGATGGACTGACAGGTGGCCTGCCACGGCCGTCTGATAGCTGCATGGGCTTTAGGGACCCAGCTCTGGTCCTCATGCTTATTAAGCAAGCAATTCAACTGCAGACATCTCCCGGTCCACTGTAGTACTTTAAAAAGCATAGTTTTGAAGATTGTTGCTGTACAATTTTATATTGGATATTTATATAAAACTTAGAACTCTGTGGTCCCTGCACATTAGAATGGAAGAACAACTTATCTATGAGCAATTAGGCCTATTGTAGACAGAAATTACTGAGAAGGTTTTGTTAACTCACTTGAAGCAATAATAAATTTAGTTTATTGTGACTGAAATAGAATATCAAAATATCTCCTTACTTTCCACTTAGTACTGCCACACCTACTGTGCTCCTGGGGGTGGACATAGTGGCAACAAAATTCCACTGGCGAGCCTGAGGGTCCCATCGCTCCACTGTATTTAGATAGCTCCAGCCATCATGGCCTCCTACGGCGTACATGGGCCCTTCCAACACAGCCACACCTGCAAGTGGATGGGAGAGAGGAATCTTAGATTCGCTCCACACTCACACCTGCTCAAAACGTAGGTACACTCAATCTGAAACATGCAAATGTAACCAAGCATGAACGCAGGCTATAGCTACTGATCTTCCCGGGCTTTCCCGAGGTAAGTGGGCTGACACAGCTCTGCAGTTCTTTCTCTGAAGCTTAGAGACGGCATCTTGAGCTACAACTGCAAGTTATTTTAAACCTCTGCCAGATGCACATACTGCCATTACTAAGACAGTCTCAACACTCAAGTGTCTTCATTCTTTCCCTCTAGGACTTCAGAATTTCAGGTTTTACTGTAGCTAAGTGTGACACCACAGCCTTGCAAGAAGTGTAACATCATAGCCTTGAATTTGTTGGTATCCTCATCAGGGAACAGAGCCACTCTTAAATTCATTCAGCAAAGGTCTCTTCAGTTTCTAAGTTATAGGCACTCCGCAGAACATAATAGGTGAGGCCATGCCCTTGGTTTATAGGACACAGATATGAAATACACATCAGGTATGTACCAACAGTGGAGAAGGAAAGCAAGGGTAGAGAGCGCCAAGGAACAGCTGTGTGATGAGGTGACATGTGAATAGAAGAGGGAATGCCACAGGAGGCCGTGCACGAAGGAGGAGGTGAGGACAGCGACAGTGTGCTGGGTGCCAGAGTTGTCTCTTTGGCTGAGCAGGTAACTGGAAGAGAGAGGGCAGAATATGAGGGAGTCAGAAATGGTGCCTCTGACCTTATCCCTCATTAGGACTTTAGGTTTTATTCTGAATGTGATGGAGAGTTGGCCAAGGACTTCTTGTTTGTTGGCCCTTGTGTTTTGAGACAGGTTCTCACTATGTGAACTAGGCAGCTCTTAAACTCGCCACCGTCCTTCCTCCACTTCCCAAGTGTTGGAATGACAGGTGGGCATCGCCACATCCTGGTTTAGCAGAATTTTTTTAAAGATTTATTTGTTTTATGTATATGAGGGCTCTGTCTGCATGAATGCCTACAGGCCAGAAGAAGGTGCTGGATCCCATTATACATGGTTGTGAGCTGCCATATGATTGCTGGGATTTGAACCTAGGTCCTCTGGAAGAACAGTGTGTGCACGATGCAAGAGGAGGTGTGAGAATATGCCCTGCAGCTCACCTTCCCTCATGGCTTTTGATACCCTGTGATGCTGCTATGCTAGACACCACCCAGCCCACACAGATTATGAAAATCCAACAGAGATTATCCAGAACAGCAGAGCCTTCCACAGCAACCAAAGCCTAAATGATGGGCCGAGCCACCAGCCTGCAGCTATGTTAATAAGAAGTCACGTTCTCTGCTTCTACATTTTAGCCAGATATGGCAGCACAGGTTTGCAGTGTCAGCACTGGTGAGGTGGAGGCAGGAGGATTAGAAATGCAAGGCTACCCTCAGCTACAGCTGTGTGATGAGGTGACATGTGAATAGAAGAGGGAATGCCACAGGAGTGAATTTGAGGCCAGCCTGGACCGTATGAGACCCTGGCTCAAAACAAAACTACAACAAAAGGCTTCTAAGTTGTGGAGTTTTTTGTTATGCAGCAGAAGCTGGTGATACACCCCAGTTTTATTTCTGCACTTCTCCACTCTTTCTCTTGGTTCACTAGAGAAAATAGAGTTCCCTAAAATTACTGTCCTCATCCATGCACCGTTAATTCCTTCAGGAAGAAGAAAGTGCCTTTGTTCCTTTCATTGCTGGGCGCTAGCTTTCGGCAGCCTCTGCTTTGGGGTTGAGTATGAGGCCGAGGCAGCGCACCCTCCATGAGTGGAGCTCACGCGCGCTTTCACTGCTTTTTGTCTCTCTTTGGTAGTGATCCATCAACGTCTTTATTGCAGCCAATTCAAACCTTTCCCCAACTGTGATAAGTTGACAGTACCGCCACAGACTTTCCTTGACTTCGTGTTTTCAGTGTGGCCCCACAGAGCAAAGGACACACAGCATAGGCACGGCTGTGTGCTCTGTGCGTTATGTGCCGGAAGAGTGAGAAGAGGGGAGATCGTTCAGCAGTCAGAACCATCTGAGGCTGCTCTTCTAGAGGACTGGGAGTCAATTCCCAGCACCCACACGGCAGCTCGCAACCACCCTGCACTGCACACAAGGGGTACACACACACACACATTCAGGAAGACACCCACACACAACAGAATGGAAAGGAGAGTCTGCACTACACTCAGTTTGGGGGGTGTGAGTTCATTCACTTCTGCTTAGAGGCCATAATACATATGTGTGTGTGTGTGTATGTATATCTACTGTTTCACGTACATATGGAACTTAAAATGCTATTTTGATGGGTATCTTGACAAGGGAACACAGCGCTAATCGCTAACCCAAGGCATAAATGTGATCGACCTCACGCTTCCCGAACTCCTTCGAGCCCGTGCTTTCCCCGTGTGAGGTGTTGCACATTTATATAAAGGCTCATGTTCTAATTTCTGCTTCTCAGGCATGATGTATGCTTGGCGACTGATGTTGACTGGTCCACACACTGGTCTCCTGCCTGGTACAGATGGTAAAAGTGTGGTGGTGGCCTGCCATATGGCTTTCTAAGTTGGACTGCAGACACACTTACCAAGGCCGTGCCTATGTGTGGACATAGGCGGCATCACACTCCAGGTTTTAGTTTTGGGGTTGAAGCACTCCACAGTGTTCAAAGTCTTCAGCCCATCTCGCCCTCCAACCACATACAGCTTGTCATCTAACACCGCGACACCGAACTGTAGCCTCCTCCCATTCATGCTTGCTACAGGAGTCCACATGTTTGTACGGAGGTCATACTTCTCAATGCTTGTTGCTCCTTAACAGTAACGAAGACAGTTATGTGACTACAACTTCCGCCATGACTGTGTTATATACACAGAAGTAGAATTTTATCTTGTGTGTGTGGCCGATATATGTCCGTGTGTGTGTGTGTGTGTGTGTGTGTGTGTGTGTGTGTTCACACACAAGTTTGCATGCATGTGAGCGTGCATGTGGTGGCTAGAAGTGATGTGTGGTGTCCTCTATCATAGTTTACTTTGTTTTTCCTGAGGTGTCTCACTGACCCTGGAACTCACTGTTGTTTAGGCTGGCTGGCCAGGGAGCTCCAGATCTACCTGTCCGCCTCCGCGGCAATGGGGTTACATATGTGTCAGCTCTGACCATGGTTTCTGGGGATCTGAACTCAGGTCCTTCTGACGCGCTGGAGAAGCACTTTGCCAATGGAGTCATCTCCCTAGCCCCAAAGTATAAAGGTTTTTATTAGCATCGATAGCAAAACTTTTGTTGTAGCTCATGAAGCTCCTGCAGAATGGCCCTTGCCTTGCCCTGTGATCTTTTCTCCTGGCACCCTTCCAGGCCTCCTCCCAGCTCCAGCATTGAAAGGTCCAGCAGGGAAGGCGCTCTGTTCGAAGAGGCTGAGAAGACACCCAGCAGTGGGAGAAAATACAGGGGAGCTGAGGATCATGGAAGCCAGAGGTACAAAGGCCAACAGCAGTTAGTTCCGCCAGCAATCTCATGCGCAGAGAGGAAGAAATAAAAACTTAAAAGCATGGGATGCCGCTGCATGGAGACCACTGAGGACTGTTGGAAGGGCTCCTTACTTGAGCACTGAGAGGTGGTGAGGAGATGGAGGCAGATGCTCCACAGAAGAATTATTTGCAGAAGTTTGGCCACAGTGCAGACAGTGTTCCTAGACAGAGAAGGGAGGCGTTGGCTCCCTTTTAAGATCTGGATTGTTGGGCTGGTTTCTAGATGTTAATGGAAAGGGTCTAGTTGAGAGGAAGGAAACTGATGACACAGGGACAAAAGAAACAATTATTGTGTGAAGTTCTGGAGGAAGGAGGAAAGAACAGTAACAACAAAAGGGGTGCGGGGGCTGACTGTCACAGAAGGGATGGGGGCACTGTTTATGGCAAGGAGGAAGGACAAAGGTCACTTGGGAACAGACTGTGGGATGTGAAGAGAGCCACTACCCATGGGGTTCACCTCTAGAAAATTTCAGAACTATTTTGCCTCTTCAAGATGTGGGACCAGTAGAGATTTAGGAAAACAAATAAAAGATAGACTGCCCTTCTTAAAAAAAGTCTAACTTCCCATTACGTAGAGTTAGAGTCCTTTTGTCTCTGTGAGCTGCTAATGAACAGCAAGTTCTAGCCCTATAAAGGAGCCCATCACATGAACACTTGCTGTAGTGTGGTAGCATTAGCCCATCAGAGCTACTGCTACCAATGACCTCTGAGAGCCAGAAACAGTTCTGCTCTACACACGGGCACTGGATTTTTACAGTTACTATCTTTTCTTCACCCTACACAAGTCTAGTTCTCTGAGATTGACACCAAGTCTTTGTAGTCTCAAAGTACCAAACAGAATAAATATTAGCTGGTTGAAAGTATTTTTGAATTTGTATAATGCTTCTTTATAATCTTTGGCAATAATGATATTTTATTCATCTACTCATGTTTTATATATATATATATATATGTAAATTATCATCCCCAGCAAAGAGTTAAAGGTCACTTGGGAAGCAGGCTGTGTAAGTGAAGGGAGTTACCCCCATGGTGTAACTTGATTTTTCACTCCAACCATAACTTTAAACCCTTCCATCAAATAAATCAAAATAAAGTAAAAATTGCCTTCCATCAATTCAAAGTCTTTTTCCCTTGATGGATTTTTAAACTATTTTCTCCTTTTGAGTCTTAAATTTCTTCTTTTAGACCTAGTTTATGAAGTAGTAGGATTTTGCTATTAACTGGAAACTCAAATTTTAAGCATCTAAAATAATGAGACAAATATGTATCTTCAAGCCTGGGTGTGTTGGGGCGGGGGTGGCTGGAGAGATACAGTGGATAAGAGCACTGGCTACTTTTCAAGAGGACCTGGGTTCAACTCCTGACACCCTTTGGGTGGCTCCCAGCAGCCTGTAACTTTAGTTCTGGGTGGGTGTGGGGCATACACTGCCCTCTTCTGGCGTCCACAGGCACTGCATGCATACGGTGCACGGAGGCGCATGCGGTGCACCAAGGGCTACTTCTTAACTGCTGAGGCATCTCTCTGGCCCCTAAAGTCTGAATTGAATTTTGAAATACATTGTATGGCACTGGCATTTTTTTAATACTACAGACAGACAAGCTCTTCCGTAGAAAGCCTCTCGGTTTGGACCTGTGCCTAAGCCTCGGGTGATGCGGGGATGCCTGGGGAGTGAGCGGGTCCTATCAGAGCACTCGCTCTTTGGTGTCATCACTGGCAACATTAGCTTTGGCTACTTGGTTAAGTGTTGTGTGTCAGTTCTCAGTACTTGTAAAGATACCATTTTACCTTTTATAACAGTCAAAGTGGGGGATAAATGCTCCAAAATCTGAAACCTTTTGAGTGTCATGTCTTCTCCAAGAGTTTCAGATTAAAGATGTTGTACTTTGATGGCTACCAAATGGTTAAGCCCTTCTCTCTCTCTGTGTGTGTGCGCGTGCGTGCGTGCGTGCGTGCGTACAGGGGGTTGACTCCAGTGTGCACGATGCCTGTGAAGTAGTGTTCTCACCGAGCTGGATCTCTAGTCCAAACTAAACGATTACTTTTTCCTAATCTCACCTTTCTTTCTACATTAGCTGGCACTCTATGGAAAGAAATAGCTTCCCCTTCTTTATTTGTGTCAGTCTGCACTCACGGAGACTCTGATTTTATGTTATCTCCATTTACTGTAATCGCTTACTTTGATGCTCCAATTACTTTAGACTCAATGGAGTCTCCCAACAAGATGTTTCCTTTTGACTTGCCCCCTCCCATTCCTTGAATACTTTCTGCCATTAGAGTGTTTTCTGGGCTCAACTTTTCCTGCCCTTGTCCATCAACCAGCCGTTTCTCCACAGGGGCTCTTGGTGGCAATACTTACTACCCTCCTTTAGAGCAGAGACTATCCAATACCTTTTGTTGCATCCATTCCTCCAACTGCAAACAATGTTCCAACAGTTGACTTTCGAGGTTTTGTCCGAGGACTCTGCAACATGGGTCGTCTCTCAGGCAATAAATGATACTTCATTGCCTCCATGATGAGTTTCTGACATTCTATGTCATCCCGAAAAAGTGCATTGTTTTCCATGTCTGCCAGGAACTAGAAAAGAACAGAGTGTATGGACAGTGAAGACACACAAGATATACTCTTTGATTCATTACTTTGTTCTATGGATTTATTTCTAGAATTTTATTTTTTGAGACCCATTATGTGGTCCAGGTTGGCCCAGAACTCACGATGTAGACCAGGCTGGTCTTGAACCCTTGATTCTCCAGCCTCAGCCTCTCACATATTGTAATCATGGGCAGAAGCCATCTCCAGCCTGCTAGTGCCTCTGCCTTATGGGTGCAGGGATTAAAGGCAAATATCACCCTCCCCTGCCCTGTTCATGTTATTTCTGAGGCACAAACTCACATAGACTGGCCTTGAGCTCAATATGTGGCCTAGGTAGGCCTTGAACTTCTGGTTGTCCTGCCTCTACCTCATAGGTGCTAAGAGAAAATATTGACAGGAGATCCACAGCTAGATGACTGGTGCCTTTAGAGCATGCTCTGAAGTCTGACATCTTCACTCTCCCCTGAGCAAGCTTCATAGTCTTCTTGGATATCCGAGCTTTAGTTTTCCATCAATTTAAGATAGCATCTAGTTTTCTCTTGCCTTTTGGTGTGAACTGTGTTAAATTCTTCTACTAACTGTGGAGAATATACATTTGGTGATATTAGGTCTTTTTATTCAAGAGGCCTTCTCACTTGTATGACTTTCTTTGCTCCCTTTACTTCATTTTATTAAATTTATTCTTACCCATGTAGTTATTTTTTATCAATTTTGCTTTTTCTTGGTTATTTTACTTTTTTAAACTTTCACTTTTTAAAAATGTTTTGCTGGAGAAGAAAGAAGAACTACTGATTATTTTAAGCTGTGTTACTCTGTCTTTAGCACACTCACTCAGCTCCAGCTCTCATGCATTCACTCATCGCAGGACTAGTCGGGCATCTTTTTCTGGGAGGACATCAACTACTTAGTTTATGGTCTCTCATATTGCCCAAACCTTCACTGTAATGGCAGATAGCTGCGTAAAGTGGAACCTCTTTGCTCCTGGCTCGAGTTGAGGTGGTGCTGGCGCTTTACTGCTTCAGGCAGTAGTTGCTATAGCATCGCGTGACCTGTTTTTTTTAAAACTGCCTCCTTCTCTCCTACTTCAGTGCTTCAAATTAAGAAATGTTGCCAAATTCTTCATCAAATACTTTTCATACATCTATTGATACGATCATATAAACTTCTCCTTTTAAGCTAGTGAGTAACAGTTCCCTTGATAGAGTCCTGATAACTGTGCTTTTCTTGTTGTTCTTGGAAAGTAGTTCCCTGGCCATAGTGTAGAGTATATTGCCCTTTAAGGCATAGTGCACACCATACTCTACTAACTACCCTATAAAGCATAGAATACACACCATACTCACCCAATCAGGTGACTTTTAGTAATGCACCAAGTGGAAAGGTTTGCAGCGTTTCTTTTACCTTGGGTAGATCTCAGAGCCCAGTTCCTGTTCCCTGACATGCCCATCCACCTCCTGTCCTAAACATTAATTATTCATACAGATTTGCCTTGTCTGTGTATTTCATAGAAACAAGATCATATATGTCCTCTATGTCTTGCCGATTTTACCCAGCATGTTCTCTAGGTTTGCCCATGTTGTAGCGTGTATCTGACTTCTTGGCTGATGAATAGTACTCTCCTGACTGGTTCCATTTCTCTCCATCCGCCCAGCAGCTGATGGACACTTAGGTTGTTTTCTGTGCGGAGCAACTATTAACAGAGATGCTAAGAAAGCTGTGTGCATTTCACACAACTTTGTGGACATAGTTTGATTTCTCTTGGGTAGATAAGTACATAAAATTATCCTTAACTGCTTTTCAAAGCATCTGTACCACATTTCCGTCTCCACAGACATCTTGTGAGTGTCTGTTTCCACACCCTCACCCACCATGCCCATTTCAGCTGGCTGGGTAAGTAGAGAGCGGGTTTTATTTTGTATTTCCCTAATGGCTAATAAGGCTGAGAATATGTCCAGATTTTGATAACTGAAACCAAAGTTTATAGCACATGGCACCATTAAAAAGCTGTGGCATTTGGTAAGCATGTATCATAAGCCAAAGGCAAAATAATTCCAGTAAGACATGACCTAGGTCCTTTCCCCCTATACACACAAAACATAAGCTTACCACAGAAGCCATTAGTGGGTATGCATGGAGTTGACTTGCTTAGATTAATGTTAGTGTTTGTATTATTTCCAATATAATTACCCAAGTGCTTTCTAAATAAAAATAAATGTGAAATAAAATGTAGGAATAAAGTCTCAGGAGATCTTATAGTAACTACAGTTTGAAGTAAAACCTATTTCTTAACATGCTGACAAGTTCTGTAGTTTATTAAAATGAGATTAGTTATATTTAAGTAAACAAGTGAGATAGAAAAATTATAAAGCAATAATAATTCAAGGACAACATTAATCAAGCATTAGTGTAGCAGGTAAGCTATTGTTCAGGAAATTATTGTAATTGACTAAACTATAAAATACTGATTCTAATACACTCTTGCATTTTTATGAATTCCAAATGCCTTGTCTGCCACAAACAATGGCAAACCATTAAAATAAAAGCATCTGGAAAAGACAGACATTTTGATTGTGAAGATTCTTATCTTTGCTCTTGTATTTGTTTGCCATGACCGTTTCTCTAAAATTGTCCCCTCAAAAACACATAGAGAATGAGAATGTCTTAATCACACTGCATAGAACTTGATCAATTCTAAAGTTTGTCTTCCCTGTAGCACCAACTGTAATATTTCTTCCTTCTTGAATTTGCATCGGTTTTTGGTAGAACTCCAGGCAAAAGTAAAATGAAATGACCATAAACACTTCCTTTTTGATTATTCAGCTTCTTTTGAAAGCCATGGAAATGATCACTTGGGAGACTGCGGAATGGCTCGCCTGGTGCAATGCCTGCCACACAAGCATGAACTTGGATTCAGAGCTCCTGTTCCCCCACAAAAGCCAGGTACCAGGGCTTGCATCTGTGACTTCAGCACTGGGAGGGCCAGCATCAGGTGGCTCCCTGGACTCACTGGCCAGCCAGTCTAGCCATGACGAGCTCCAGACTCAGGAAAATAAGGTAGAGAGTGGTCAAGAAGGACAGCTGGTGTTGACCCCCGACTCTGCATGCAATAGCACATACGTGTGGGCACACACAGATAAACAAATTATCTTTTTTTTTTAAAGATCACTTGGAAGCTGATGAGTTGGCTCAGCAAGGAAAGTCCTTGCTGTGCAAGTCTGATGAGCTGAGTTCCAACTCTGGAACCTATATAAACGTAGGTGAGAGCACAGCCCATGACGTTATTCTCTGACCTCCACATGTACATTGTAAAATGTGTGCTCCTAACCCATCACACACACGTACACACATACACAAATCCACATACAAATAATAAATAAAACTTTAAAAAGATCATTTGGGTCACATGTCATAATTATATACATAATTTCTTCCATCATTTACCATCTAATGTTGGTGACACCATAATAAAGTTAATATTGGAAGCTAAATCCCTTCTAGCTAGGCTAGAGTGCTTTGTCTAACAGAACATGATAAAATGTCATTTACGTGTTATCACTGAGAAAACATGATTTTACAAATGTAATAAAGGCCAGAGGTCAGGGAGGATTGCTACAAAATAGTGAGTTCTGGACATGGCATGGCCTTTGCACTTATGAGCTAACAGCATCTGTGATTGCTTGCACAAGACCTGTATAAGATCAAGCCTGTCAACACTCCAGCATGGATGGAGGAGGGACTCACAAAGCTCTACCATTAGCTGAGGGGCTTTGGGCTGGTGATAGCCATGGAGGGAGGCACAGTCAGCTTTTTCTAGCCATGTGGAGCACAGCAGATTGCCCATGATCCTATACCCCTGCACAGATGGCTGTGCTAACTGTACTTATTGGGTTCTAAAGACATGAAGCTGGTGTGTGTGTGTGGTCCTACAGCTGGGAGAGGTGAAGTAACTGGTAACAGTGTAGCCGACTCAATCGCATTTGCTCCTCCATTACTACCACTCATCACAGGGTTCTCAAATCTGAGGGTACACTACAAGGCTTATTAAATCCAGGTTTCAGGGCCCATCTCACAGAGCTGTGAGATGAGGCCTGACTATTATTTGTATTTCAAAAAGTTTACAGACACTATTGATTTTGAGAAACATTGGGCTAACCCACTGGAGTCCCCTCCTTATCTGTCTTCTGTGTAGTGTTTGATGACATAACATTCAGTCATGGAATTGAGTTCTGCTAGCTCTCTAGCCACTTGGCTAGGTTGGTAATGGCCACTAAATCTTAGTGTTTTCTATAGTCCATCCCTAGGACTTCTGCATTCTTGCTGGCCAGTATCATTCTTTTGCTTTGGGTTTCAACAAGCTAGTAAGTTTTTCTATTTTTTTCTCTTAATCTTCTGAGGATTTAGGATTTAAGGTGCAAAGCAATTTTGGGAAAATGATTCTCCCTTCCCCATGCTACATTGTATCCCTCACTCTATAGTCTTCATCTCAAATGACATCACCTTCACTAACCTCATTCTGCACTAAGGCTCACTCTGGGCCCTTCTTTTAACCCAGTCATTAAGTTTTGTCAGTTTCTGGTAGTTTTTCTCTGGTGCTGCCTGAGTGTCTACTTAGCCAGGCTGGACCCCAATATCCTTTCTAATGGGTTTCTGGTGTTGACCCCGATTCATTCTCTGCAGTACATTTATAGTTGCTGTCCCCAAACAGAATTATGTTATGCTATCCCTATTATAAAATCCTTCCATCCTTCCTCATTGCTTTTAGGATAAAGTCCAAACTCCTTGGTATGACTAAAGCTTCTTCATGATCTGATTAACTTTCCTCGCTAGCCTGACCTCTTGACATAGCCCCTCTTTATTTTTGGGCTCAGTCAAGTAACTGTTTTTCAAATTTCATAATGTATGCTTCACACCAGTGCAATATGGTCTCTTCCTGGGCCCCACTCCACCTTTGGCGGCTAACACAAGATGCAGACAACATGGCCTTTAAAGAAGCTCACCCTGCTTCTCCTCAGCCACCATTGTGTTGTTTTGGTTTTGCTCTTGAGGGGCTCATTATTTCATGTAATGTGCGTTCACCTACTACAGCCTCTTCTTATCACACTGTAACCACAACTAGCTTGTATTCTGTTTCCCCCTTAACCTATACCCTGCAATTTTTTTTTTAAGATTTATTTATTATTTATATAGTATTCTGCCTGCATATGTGCCTCTGGCAGCAGATCTTACTATAGATGTGAGCCACCATGTGGTTGCTGGGAATTGAACTCAGGACCTTTGGAAGAGCAGACAGTGCTCTTAACCGCTGAGCCATCTTTCCAGCTCCACCCTGCAATTTTATACATGGCCAGAGGAGTCTGTAAAAAGGTCACGGAACCATACATGGGTTCAGATCCCAGCTCTGGCTCCCAAAAGCTCCATGTTAATCAGTAGTAAAGCCAGCAGAGCCACAGCTGAGAAGGAAAGAATGCATGCAGTTACTTTGTGGTTCTGAACTTCTAGTCTTACTTGTGTTGGACTGATGATTCCCACTGCACCCTAGCTGATGAACTAAATGATCTGCCTTTCAAGTTTAAGAACTCAGGGAACTGTGGGGCACAGCGGTACACACCTGTAATCCTAGCACTTGGGGAGGCAGAGAGAGGTGGATGTCTGTGAGTTCAAGACCAACTTGGCCTACAAAGTGAGTCCAGGATAGCCAAGACTACACAGAAAAACATTGTTTTGAAAACAAATAGACAAACAAACAAACAAAAACCAAAACAAACCAAGGGCAAAAAAAAACAACGAAACCTCAGAAAGATGTTCTATCCCTAAGTTCATGGGAACAGGGGTTTGAAGTTTGCGGGAAGGCTAACATATCGACAGTACCTTCAAGCTGCAGAACAGAACTATGTTTCCAGGTTATGTGGAAATAAGGGCTATTTCCAACATCTAATAAGATTTTTCATATTTTATTTTTTTTTCATTCAGAAAATAGGAAAGAATATTTGCTAGGAACCAAGGAAACTTGAAGTTTGATTTCAGGAGAAATCCCTTCTTAAGTTGTTTTTCCTAAATTGGCATTCTTTCATGCAGTTCCAGTTATACATAGCGAGGGCTTAGCATGAGGCCTTGGCAATGACTTTTGTCTTTGCTAGACAGAGTGCAAACAGTAACTTCCACTCACAATAGCCAGAAATGATGCATTATCTGCAAAATTAATACCAACAAAGGAACTCTTGTGACACTTTAAACCCTAAGGGGGGAAAAAAAAAAAGAAAGAAAGAAAAAGAAAAAAAGGCCAGGCCTGAATCAGCTAGCGCTCTTACCTTTTCTGCTTTCAAGGCCTCTTTCTTTATTCAGTGCTGGAGATGGGCAGAAGAAAAAACTGCTGGGGAAATTCCTATGTATTGCAGTGAAAAGCGAACAAAGGAGAAACTGTGCAAGCACATGATGCCTGACAGCTCCGAGCACACAGGCCTCTGCGCTCTGACACGATGGCATTATTTATAGCACATTTTGCTTCAGAGAATGCATTTCTCTCATCATAATCCTGAGACAGTCAGAATAGAGGTCTCTCTACTTGACCAGAATTGATGCCACCTTTGCTTCATAGATGGAAAGACTGTGGTGTGAATATACCAGGTCACAAGTCAGAGCTTCAAGTGTCATGGAACCTAGTCAACGTGTGACAATGAGTTAATGTAAACTTTCTGGTCTTATTACTAAGTATTTAGTAGGATAGGTATATAGTAGAGTCCAATAAAATCGCTAACTCAAAATCAGGAGTGCTACCTAATCAATGCAACTTTGATAGCTTGACCATCCCCCTGTACTGCAGAGAGGCAGCATTTTGTTAGGTTAATATTTTTTAACCTATACATTCCTCAGGAATACATGTATAAATTACTTTAACAGACCACCAAAAAAAAATACACCTGTAGAGGAGTGTCTATTAATTACCTGTGGTGCAAGGAGAGGTAGCCTAATATAAGCCAAAAGTTTACTGAGATCTTTCCGCCTCTGCTCCAAATCGTGCCGGACCCAAGTAAGAAGTGCATTCAGTATTGTCTCCTCGTTAGGAATGTTCATGTCATCACTGGCCAAGAGTTTTGCAATTTCATTGGCTGGGAGTAATACAAATTCCTGGTTTCTGATTACTTCCATGAAATGTTCCTAGAGGGGGGGGGAAGGCAGATAAATGATATCGTTCCTTTTAACATTGTTTATATGAAAGAAGCTAAACTTTTTATATTAGGTGTCTAGAATAATTTGTACTTTAGACACAATTTTTTTTTCTGTTAGGAAAGAAAGCCAAGAGCAACACCAACCTGTATCGCTTGTTAAACCTGTGATGAGTGGAAACAGTGTCAGCTCAGTACATTGAAAATGGACCTATGGCTTTTATTTACTGCTTTGCTTAGGTTAGGGAGTAGTTTTGACAAGGCTTCTGAAGGATGATAAAAGAAAAATGAAGCAAGTGCCAAGAGAGAGAACTAGTATCAGGCTTATGGTTGTCAGGGAATCTAGCATCAGTGATGGTGCCTCTGATCCAGGAATTGCCTTCAGGCTGGCCAATTAAGTAAGACCCCGCTAGATCAGAGGCCTGCATCCCGCCATGGCGAAGCACTCCTCCGTAAAGTCATTTATAACCAAAGTGGCCATTAAGGTTTTGTTCTGGTTTGTTTTGTTTTAAAGACAGGTTCTACCTACACAGCTCAGGCTAGCCTTGAACTTGAGGATCATAGGTGTGTGATTCCTACAGTTTTTAGAAGACCTTGCAGGATCAGATCTATTCAGAAAACTTGAATCTCTTCTAATCCTAATTATGCAAGTTAGTTGGCTTTTAACACACACACACACACACACACACACACACACACACACACACAC